AGGTCAAAAGAACATACTGTGTATTGCTCCATGCCATGAGGCTAGCTGCAATGCATCTCTGGGAAAAGGGGAGGTCTACCTATCAAGGGCGGACTGACCACCTGCTTGAAGGAAAGAGGGAGGACCCTGAATATGGCGGTTGGGGGGAGAGAGTGGCACTAGCTCCTTGCTGGGTCCTGCTTCCCGACCCACCCAGTGACCCTCACTAGGAACTGATCCACTGTAGTCTGGAGGGCTGGGGAGTTTAACCCGGAGAGCTGGAGATGAGAGCTGGTCTGAGGCTTCAGTAACACGCCAGTTTCCCCGGCGCTATATGAGTGGGAGAACCGCGTGGCTGAGAGGTGAGGTGACGCTGAGGGAGCATGTGGCCAGCCGCGGAGGATCTTTGGGGGAAAGAGGAAGCTGGCCGGCCGGCTTCCTGATGTGAGAGGGAGCCGCCGGCTCACAGCTGCCTGTACCCCCTGGCGGGCTGTCAGACCCTGGGTCAGGGAGACCCATGAATATCAGGAGACCCACCCTGCTTCCCCGGGACGAATCCTAAGGAGAAAGAAAGAAATACAGCATTGGAAACCCAGAGGAATCCCCCCCCCCCCCCAGGACTGAGCAGCAGTGAAGGCTCTCCACACAAGCCTGGAGCCACCGTCCTGAGAAGGGAAGGGTGAGTGAGAGCTGCTGGGGGCTTATTGTGTTGTGGACCCCTGAGTGATATAGGAGACCAAGGGGTGAAGGAGTGGAGGGGAGGATTCCCAGGGGTTAGAAGAGAAGAAGAGGGGAGGCCCAGGTGTTCTAGGAGAGTAAAATATATAGGAATAATAGCAAGCCTATCAAGATTTACAGAAGATATGAAGAATAAAGGTCCCAAGGGAGCAGGGCTCAAAGGGTCTCAAACAGGAACAATAAAGAAATTTACATCATATGGAAATACTACGCCAGAAAGGGCCCAAGGCGCAAGCGCAAAAGGGGAATTGGACACTAGTTCAGGAAATAGTCCTAGATTATCATTGGGCATGAATAGCAGCTATAGTCAACAAATAGTGGATGGCTTGGGAAAAAAAGAATCTGACGGTGAACTACAAGTACCAAATAAGGAGATGATAGAAATGTTTCAAAATTTGGAAAAAACAATAAAACATGAAATGACAGCTATTCGAAATGATTTAGGGCATCTGCTATCAAGAGTGGAAGAAACAGAGCAGAAAGTTAAAACTCAGGCCCAAAATATAGATAATCTAAGGGAAAAAAAGAACCCAATTGGAAAACACCCAGAAAAAATTGATCTATAGGATGGAAGTTCAAGAAAATAAAGAAAGAAGGTGTAACCTTTAGAGTACGAGGAATCCCAGAGACTGCAAAAGGGGTAACACTATATGAATTAGTTAAAAAAATTCTAAACTCCATAAGAGACAGACCTGAAACAGACGGGATCAAGTTAGACGGAGTGTTCAGAATAGGAAAATTCAAACAGGCTACTGAGAAGGAAAGACCGAGAGGCATAATTGTCCAGTTTCAAAAATTTGGGGTCAAAGATGAGATTTGGAAGAAGACCAAGGGAAGATCATTAATTAAGTATGGAGATCTGACTATCCAAATTTATGCGGACTTAACAGCAGAGACCCTATGGAGAAGGAGATCCCTGAGACCCCTGTTGGAGCAAATGAGAAAACAGAATGTGCAATATAGATGGGGTACCTCAGCATCTCTAATTGGTTGTAAAAACGGGGTCACAGCTTATTTGAGATTTCCGGAGAATCTAAGGGATTTTTGTGATAGACTGGACTTGCAAAGAATGGAAATAGCTGGGTGGGAAGAAGAAGAAGATAAAGGAAATATAGACGATACAAGAAAAGAGGACTGGCAGCATGTTGGGGGGAGGGGGGGAGGGGGGGAGGCCCCGGGGCTGGGGAGGGAAAGGAGAGCGAATTAAGTAGAAAATATTTTTTTTTTCTCTCTCTCTTTTCCCTCTCTCGCCCCTGGTCTCTCCCCCTCCGGAGGTTGAGGTCCTCCTGGAGGCTTTGATTAAGGGAGGGAAGTAAAGATTCTTGCTGAGTCTAGATGATAGAGAGAGGTGATCTGGGGGGGGGGTCAGAGGAGAGGTGAGCTGTACATGGGCGGAGCTTACGCCCTAAGTTTTAAATCAATGGTGGAAATAGATCCACAAATGATTTGTAGGCAGTTTATATGCCTACAAATGGGTAGGGAAAAAAAAAGATAGGGGTGTGGGGGGTGGGAGATGGGGGTTTGGTGGGAGGGAGTGTGGGGGGAGGTTGGGTTAATAAGCTGCAAGATTGTAGGGCCTAATAGGAGGAGGTGTATTAGAGGAGAGATAGACAGAATTAAGAAGGATGGAAGAAATACAGTTTACAACATATAATGTGAATGGGTTGAACTGTCCTGGGAAAAGATTTAAGTTGTTTAAAGAGTTATATCATAGGGCAACGTCAGTGGTATTTTTACAGGAAACACATTTTGAGATAGAGTCAAACGTGAAATTAAAATCCAAATATTATCCAACCTGGTATTACGCTGACTCTCCAATTAAAAGATCAAAAGGGGTGGCAATAGGGTTGGCAAAGAATATGAGATTTGAGCTGGAGGATAGAAGGACCGATCCGGAGGGGAGATTCCTGTTCTTGAAAGGTAAATTACAGGGAATCGAGTGTACGTTAGCCATATATATTGCCCCAACAAAAAGCCGGAGATCTATTTGAAGGGTCTGTTGAAAAAATTGATAGACTTCAAAAAAGGGCGTTTGATAGTAGCAGGAGATTTAAATCTATGTATGGACCCACAAAAGGATACAACATCCCCTGTGCAGAGAGAAGATGGTAGGTCTCTGAGAGCTTTGAAAAAAAGCGATCCACGAGTATCAACTGGTGGACACTTGGAGAATAATGCATATGAAGGACAGGGACTATACCTTCTTCTCTAATGCACATGAGATATACTCGAGACTGGATTATATTTTAATAGATCATCAATTCATAGAACTAATGGTTAAAATAGAAATAGAGATGTGTACACTCTCGGATCATGCCCCTGTCATAATGAAAATGGGATGGGGAAGACGGTGGACGGGAGGCCTAGGATGGAGGTTAAATGAGGCCCTTCTCTTGGACGAGGATATAGCTCAGAAGATTGGGGAAGAGATCAAGGTTTATTTTAAGGAGAATGAGACAGAGGAAGTATCGACAGCCACAGTATGGGAAAGCCACAAGGTATATATAAGAAGAATCCTGATTGCGATGGGAGCAAAGAAGAAAAGAGAAAGAAGAGAGAGGGTTAGTGGGCTCTTAAAAGAAATCCTGGATTTGGAGCAGATACAAAAGAAGAAAATAACAAGAGAAATAAGACAGAAGTTAATGGATAAAAAGGATGAGTTAGATAGATGGATGAGGAGAGGAGAAGAGTATATAATAAAGTATTAAGTAAAAGATATAGATGGGGAGATAGACCAGGAAAATATCTAATGAGAGCTCTGAATAAAAAGAAAAATAGAAACTATAAAGAAGAGATAAAAAATCCTAAGGGGGAGTTGGTTCACTCAACTGAAGAGATTATTAAAGTGTTCACGGAGTACTATAGAAAGTTGTATAATATTAGTCCCCAAGGCTCTCCAAAAGAAAATGGAGAGGATATCAACAAAAAAAAAGGATATATTTAAAAAAAACGCAGGATTACCAAAGTTAAGTGAAGTACAATTGAACTCCTTGGACGTGGAAATTTCCCAGGATGAAATAAAAGCAGCATTAAGAAGTACAGGGGGTGGAAAAAGTCCAGGACCGGATGGGTATACAGTAAAGTACTATAAAAAATATAGTGAAATATTGTTACCTAAGCTTAAGAAGTACATGAACGATCTGGGAGGAGGGATGGAGGGGAGAAGAGAATCTCTTCAGGCCCATGTTGTACTCATTCACAAGGAGGGAAAAGATCCTTCTCAGTGTTCCAGCTATAGACCAATTTCACTATTGAACACCGATACCAAGTTGTACGCAAAGGTTCTAGCAAATAGGCTGAAAGATCTAATGACTGAATGGATACATGGAGATCAGGTGGGCTTTGTCCCAGGGAGAGAGGGTAGAGACAACGGGTTGAGAACTCTGATGCTTATTCAGAAAAGTAGAAAAGGGAAAGCCCCGGTGGTACTTTTTGTCGATTGATGCCGAAAAGGCGTTCGATAGAGTGGACTGGGGCTTCATGATGGACAACTTAGAAGTGTTGGGGATTGGAGAGAGAATGCGTGAGTGGATAGGTAAATTATATAGGGAGCCCACCACAATCATTATGGTAAATGGGGAGAGGTCGGAATCTGTAAAATATCGTATTGTCTCGATATTTTATTAACTTGTATTGATGAGAAATGTTCAGATAGAAAGTCCATCCACTTCTTGCATAAACTCAAAAAGATGATTTAATAATAATGTTGCATAAAATTAGAAATAAAAAAATATTGGCATACAGAATGTTTAAATAAAGTCCAAAAAATATAGTTAAGTTCTTGATAATAAGATTGTATATATGTATATGTGTGAGTATGTCTGTCGCATAAAGGCTTCTATATAGAGTGAGTGAAACTCAAACCTTTGTTCTGCTCTTGAAAGAGCAATCCAGCCCCCACCTTTTCCTAAAAATGGGCTGGTATACTTGTAGTCCCACAAAGATAATTGGAAACGGATGTGTATATATAACAAACGTCCAGTCTACTTCTCCTAAAGTCTGAGCGTAACCTAAGAAGGCCTAGACATTCCATCAATCAGAGTAAATTAGATGTATTACACATACATATATATTAGAGATGAGCGAAGTATTCAAAAATTCGATTCGACTGATTCGGCGAATTCGTGGAAAATATTTGATTTGAGTCGAATATATTCCCTGTGAATTTAACTTATAAAAGGGTGTTTCTAGGCTTCAGAGAGACTTAATATTAGTGCAGAACACTGTACCTTTAATTTAAATGCCCTTGGAGTCTGCTGGGGAAGAGAAATAATACTGTCAGTCAGTATGACATGCAGATGAGTGCCGTCGATCTTAGAATCACCGCACACTTCACTCATTTGGCCAGTCACGGGACCAAAACCAGTGTTTGGAGCCACAGTGTGGCGGTGGAGGCAGCAGCAATGGGAGGCCATACAGCACCCTGTGACAAAATGGAACCCACCAGCAGTGTGAGAGGACCTGAAAGTGGCACATGGCAGAGTGGGAGCAATGGGAGGCGGTACAGGGACCCATGTCACACTGTGGGACCCAGCAGCAGCGTGACCAGGCGGTACGGGGGCCCATGGCAGATTTGGGGCCTGGCGGCACCTATGGGAGGCCTGTAATCTGCCAGCAACCTATGACAAAATGGAAAACCGCAGGAGTGTGAGGAGACCTGAAAGTGGCACATGGCAGAGTGGGAGCAATGGGAGGCGGTACAGGGACCCAGGTCACACTGTGGACCCAGCAGCAGCAGCGTGACCAGGCGGTACGGGGGCCCATGGCAGATTTGGGGCCTGGCAGCACCTATGGGAGGCCTGTAATCTGCCAGCAACCTATGACAAAATGGAAAACCGCAGGAGTGTGAGGAGACCTCAAAGTGGCACATGGCAGAGTGGGAGCAATGGGAGGCGGTACAGGGACCCATGACACACTGTGGACCCAGCAGCAGCAGCGTGACCAGGCGGTACGGGGGCCCATGGCAGATTTGGGGCCTGGCGGCACCTATGGGAGGCCTGTAATCTGCCAGCAACCTATGACAAAATGGAAAACCGCAGGAGTGTGTGAGGAGACCTGAAAGTGGCACATGGCAGAGTGGGAGCAATGGGAGGCGGTACAGGGACCCAGGTCATACTGTGGACCCAGCAGCAGCGTGACCAGGCGGTACGGGGGCCCATGGCAGATTTGGGGCCTGGCGGCACCTATGGGGAGGCCTGTAATCTGCCAGCAACCTATGACAAAATGGAAAACCGCAGGAGTGTGAGGAGACCTCAAAGTGGCACATGGCAGAGTGGGAGCAATGGGAGGCGGTACAGGGACCCAGGTCACACTGTGGACCCAGCAGCAGCGTGACCAGGCGGTACGGGGGCCCATGGCAGATTTGGGGCCTGGCGGCACCTATGGGAGGCCTGTAATCTGCCAGCAACCTATGACAAAATGGAAAACCGCAGGAGTGTGAGGAGACCTGAAAGTGGCACATGGCAGAGTGGGAGCAATGGGAGGCGGTACAGGGACCCAGGTCACACTGTGGACCCAGCAGCAGCGTGACCAGGCGGTACGGGGGCCCTTGGCAGATTTGGGGCCTGGCGGCACCTATGGGAGGCCTGTAATCTGCCAGCGACCTATGACAAAATGGGAAAACCGCAGGAGTGTGAGGAGACCTGAAAGTGGCACATGGCAGAGTGGGAGCAATGGGAGGCGGTACAGGGACCCAGGTCACACTGTGGACCCAGCAGCAGCGTGACCAGGCGGTACGGGGGCCCATGGCAGATTTGGGGCCTGGCGGCACCTATGGGAGGCCTGTAATCTGCCAGCAACCTATGACAAAATGGAAAACCGCAGGAGTGTGAGGAGACCTGAAAGTGGCACATGGCAGAGTGGGAGCAATGGGAGGCGGTACAGGGACCCAGGTCACACTGTGGACCGAGCAGCAGCGTGACCAGGCGGTACGGGGGCCCATGGCAGATTAGGGGCCTGGCGGCACCTATGGGAGGCCTGTAATCTGCCAGCAACCTATGACAAAATGGAAAACCGCAGGAGTGTGAGGAGACCTGAAAGTGGCACATGGCAGAGTGGGAGCAATGGGAGGCGGTACAGGGACCCAGGTCACACTGTGGACCCAGCAGCAGCGTGACCAGGCGGTACGGGGGCCCATGGCAGATTTGGGGCCTGGCGGCACCTATGGGAGGCCTGTAATCTGCCAGCAATCTATGACAAAATGGAAAACCGCAGGAGTGTGAGGAGACCTGAAAGTGGCACATGGCAGAGTGGGAGCAATGGGAGGCGGTACAGGGACCCAGGTCACACTGTGGACCCAGCAGCAGCGTGACCAGGCGGTACGGGGGCCCATGGCAGATTTGGGGCCTGGCAGCACCTATGGGAGGCCTGTAATCTGCCAGCAACCTATGACAAAATGGAAAACCGCAGAGTGTGAGGAGACCTCAAAGTGGCACATGGCAGAGTGTGGCGATGGAGACAGCAGCAATGGGAGGCCGTACAGGGACCCATGAGAGACTGTGGACCTGGCAGCAGCATGAGGAGGCGGTATAGGGGCCCATGGCAGATTAGGGGCCTGGCAGCAGCTATGGGAGGCCCGTAATCTGCCAGCACCCTATGACAAAAAATGGAACACACCAGCAGTGTGAGGAGACCTGAAAGTGGCACATGTTTGGGGCATGATTCATGGCGGATTTAGTCAGTTGTGTCAGGAACTGGTGGTTTGAAATCCAGACTAATCCACGTCTGATTCATTTTCACAAACGTGAGTCTCTCCACACTTTGGGTGGACAGTCGTGTCCTCCGTGGAGTTACAATACCTCCTGCCGCACTAAACACGCGCTCCGATGCCACGCTACTGGCCGGGCATGACAGCCTTTCAAGGGCAAATTCAGCTAGTTGGGGCCAAAGGTCAAGTTTTGTTGCCCAGTAGTCAAGGGGATTGTCTACCTCGGTTGGCAGGGTGCTGTCCAAGTAGGCCTAAGCCTGTTGTTTGAGCTCCTGCTCCAGGTCCACCTGATTCTGCTGCTGCTGCTGCGGCTGGTTAGTAGTTTCCTCACTGCGCTGGTGAAGAAAGCTACTCATCATCGACTGCAGACTGAGGCAGCCGCTGCTGGTGGAGCTGCCACTGCTCCTACCACCCCACCCCTCCCCTGCTGCCATGGCAGCGGAACGCGCGAGCGCACAGGGCCCACAGTGTCTGAGGATGGACGTTGGCGCAGAAAGGCAGAGACCAGCTGACTACATAGGTGGTTTTTATAGTACGTTATTTTGGCCTCCCTCTCAGCAGGTGTGAAAAAGGCCACCATTTTTGAACGGTAGCGAGGGTCCAACAAGGTGGACAGCCAAAAGTCATCCCTCTGTCTGATGGTTATTATTCGGCTGTCGCTACGCAAGCAAGCGAGCATGCTATGGGCCATTTGTGCCAAGGAATGCGAGGGACTCCCTGCCTCCATCTCCACAGCATACTGCCACGGTGCGTCTGGGTCCTCTGTCTCCTCCTCCTCCTCCTCTACCAGATGCTCCTCCACTCCTGTCCGCTGAGTGGAAAAACCACCCATTTCACTCAATAATTCCTGAGCACCAATGTCCTCCTCTACCTCCTCCTCTTCTTCCTGTCCTAGCCCCCACAGGGGTCATGTGGCATTGAGATCTGTGTGCCACGTCTACCGCACCCTGACCAGCCATTGTTAACAGCATTTGTTCCAGGATGTGCAACAGAGGAATGACGTTGTTCATCCCATAGTCCTGCCGACTCACGAATAGCGTGGCCTCCTCAAAGGGCCTGAGCAAGTGGCAGGTGTCACGCATGAGCTGCCAATGGCTGACATCGAAGTTACACAGGGGAGTACCTTTATCCGCTTGTAACATCAGGAAATCGGTGATGGCCTTTCGCTGTTCGTAAAGGGCGGTCTAACATATGTAGGGTTGAATTCCACCTTGTTGCAAAGTCACAGCATGAGGAGTCGGTACGGGGGCCCATGACAGATTACGTGCCTGGCAGCAGCAATGGGAGGCCCGTAATCTGCCAGCACCCTATGTCAAAAAATTGAACACACCAGCAGTGTGAGGAGACCTGAAAGTGGCACATGGCAGAGTGTGGCGATGGAGACAGCAGCAATGGGAGGCCGTACAGGGACCCATGACACACTCTGGACTTGGCAGCAGCATGAGGAGGCGGTATAGGGGCCCATGGCAGATTAGGGGCCTGGCAGCAGCTATGGGAGGCCCGTAATCTGCCAACACCCTATGTCAAAAAATTGAACACAACAGCAGTGTGAGGAGACCTGAAAGTGGCACATGGCATGAGAGACTCTGGGCCTGGCAGCAGCATGAGGGGCGGTATATAGGGGCCCATGGCAGATTAGGGGCCTGGCAGCAGCTATGGGAGGCCCGTAATCTGCCAGCACCCTATGACAAAAAATTGAACACACCAGCAGTGTGTGAGGAGACCTGAAAGTGGCACATGGCAGAGTGAGGCGATGGAGACAGCAGCAATGGGAGGCCGTACAGGGACCCATGAGAGACTGTGGACCTGGCAGCAGCATGAGGAGTCGGTATAGGGGCCCATGGCAGATTAGGGGCCTGGCAGCAGCTATGGGAGGCCCGTAATCTGCCAGCACCCTATGTCAAAAAATTGAACACACCAGCAGTGTGAGGAGACCTGAAAGTGGCACATGGCATGAGAGACTCTGGACCTGGCAGCAGCATGAGGAGGCGGTATAGGGGCCCATGGCAGATTAGGGGCCTGGCAGCAGCTATGGGGGGCCCGTAATCTGCCAGCACCCTATGACAAAAAATGGAACACACCAGCAGTGTGTGAGGAGACCTGAAAGTGGCACATGTTTGGGGCATGATTCATGGCGGATTTAGTCAGTTGTGTCAGGAACTGGGTTTTAAATCCAGACTAAATCCACGCCTGATTCATTTTCACAAACGTGAGTCTCTCCACACTTTGGGTGGACAGTCGTGTCCTCCGCAGAGTTACAATACCTCCTGCCGCACTAAACACGCGCTCCGATGCCACGCTACTGGCCGGGCATGACAGCCTTTCAAGGGCAAATTCAGCTAGTTGGGGCCAAAGGTCAAGTTTCGTTGCCCAGTAGTCAAGGGGATTGTCTACCTCGGTTGGCAGGGTGCTGTCCAAGTAGGCCCAAGCCTGTTGTTTGAGCTCCTGCTCCAGGTCCACCTGATTCTGCTGCTGCGGCTGCGGCTGGTTAGTAGTTTCCTCACTGCGCTGGTGAAGAAAGCTACTCATCATCGACTGCAGACTGAGGCAGCCGCTGCTGGTGGAGCTGCCACTGCTCCTGCGCCACCACCCCACCCCTCCCCTGCTGCCATGGCAGCGGAACGCGAGCGCACAGGGCCCACAGTGTCTGAGGATGGACGTTGGCGCAGAAAGGCAGAGACCAACTGACTACATAGGTGGTTTTTATAGTACGTTTTTTTGGCCTCCCATCCGCTTGTAACATCAGGAAATCGGTGATGGCCTTTCGCTGTTCGTAAAGGCGGTCTAACATGTGTAGGGTTGAATTCCACCTTGTTGCAACGTCGCAGATCAGGCGATGCTGTGGAATTCCGCTCTGCCGCTGCAGCTCAAGGAGGGTGTGCTTTGCGGTGTAGGAATGGCTGAAATGCATGCAAAGTTTACGTGACATTTTAAGGATGTCTTGCAGTGGGATGGTGGATTTTAGGAACCGCTTGACAACCAGATTGAACACGTGAGCCATGCATGGCGCATGGCACAACCTTCCTTGACGCAGAGCAGACACCATGTTCTTTCTGTTGTCGGTCAACATGGTTCCGATTTTCAGTTTGCGCGGAGACAGCCATCTGTCGATTTCTCTGTTCATTACACTCAGAAGTTCCTCCCCTGTGTGACTACGTTCGCCAAGGCATACCAGGTGCAGCACAGCGTGACACCGTTGCGCCCTGCACATGTGATATGCCGGTCGGGTAATGGGACTTGGCACGGGGGTGGCGGCTGAGGACACGGCGGAAGAAGAGGTGGTAGAGGCGGACATGTTTGCTGGACCAAGGACGTGCAAACGTGGAGGCAAAAGCGTCGTGACCTGTCCAAGTTGCTGGTGCGGCTGTGCCGGCACCACGTTCACCCAGTGGGCCGTAAATGACATGTACTGTCCCTGACCGTAGTTACAGCTCCACACGTCGGCGCTGCCATGCACTTTGGCAGAGACCGACATGCTCAAAGACTGGCCCACCATCTCTTCTACATGTGAATGCAGGGCTGGCACTGCCTTTTTGGCAAAGAAATGCCGGCTTGGCACTCTCCACCGCGGCGCGGCACAAGCCATCATTTCTCGGAAAGGTGCTGAGTCCACCAGTTGGAAAGGGAGGGACTGCAGCACCAGCAACTTGGACAGGAGGAGGACGTTCAGCTTTTGCACCGTCGGGTGCGTGCTCGCAAACTGTTGTCTCTTGGAAACGGATTCCAAGAAAGACTGCTGACGGAATCCGTGAAGAGGAGTAGCAGGAGAAGGAGCATCTGAACGAGCGGAAGATGCCAACGAGCGACAACTCCCCTCAGCAGAGGTGTTGGAGCCTTGACTGGCTGATAGAGGGCGATTGACGTCGGGTGACGGAGCAAGTAATAGAGCGGGTGATGGAGCGGGGGCTGGGGCAGGCAGAACCGCCGTATCTTTATCACGGTTTTCCCAGGCCACCGAATGGCGACGCTGCATATGCTGACGCAACGCTGTAGTCCCAACATGGGCCCCCTGGCCACGCTTGACTTTCTGGCCACATAGTCGACATACGGCTACGTTTACTTCCTCGGGCGGCTTGACGAAAAATTGCCACACCACCGAGTAGGAAACTTTGCCCCCGCTACTCCTCACTGGCTGACTGCTACTTCCTCCGTGCGCACCGCACCACTACTGGCCGTGGTGGTAGGCTGCAGTGGAGCTGGTGCTGTACTCCGTGGCCGTTTGGCTCCACTGACACTGCTGCGACCCTGCTGCCTCCTGGGCAACCCACCGACTGTTTCGCTCGCTGCCAAGCTGGCACCCTCTTCTCCTGATGATGCGGAAGAAATTACCTGATGACGACGAGGCTGCCAAGTGCGATCAACCTCCTCATCATCAAGTAGGGTCTCCGCCTCACTACTAGCCCCCTCGGCTGCGTGTGGGTCAGGAGACAGACCTGTCTCTAGACCAGCTACCGAGCCACTCTCCTCGCCACTACTTCTTCGCCTGGCTGCTGAAAAGGCGGATGTCTCCCCCCGTTCCTGACCGCCCTCTGTTAGCTCTTCCTCACTGTACAGTGGGGCTGAGCCCACAGCATGCGATACTTCGCTTGGTGAGGGAACAGCAAAGGACAGGGGCAGGTAGAGGACACGTGATTTCAGTGGGCTTGCTCCCGGGCCATGCCAACTAACGGTTGTGTCTGACGTACCCGGAAGACTGACGGAAGAGGAAGACGACCGAGCCAACCAATCGATGACGGCAGGGTTGTCGGTGGAGACACGACCGCTGGATGACACCGGGAGCACTGGCCTCTGGCTGCGAATAGTGCTGCCTCGACCCCTTCCTCTGCTGCCACGTCTGCTCGCTCCTAAAACATTGCCTCCTCTGCCATTCCTCTGCATGTTGTCTGACATACTCTTTAATTCAACGATTCTGTGTCCCTGAGTAACAATTCTGTGTCCCTGAGTAACAATTCTGTGTCCCTGAGTAACAATTCTGTGTCTGTCCCTGAGTAACAATTCTGTGTCTGTCCCTGAGTAACAATTCTGTGGCCCTAAGTAACGGTTCTGTGGCCCTCAGTAACAATTCTGTGTCCCTGAGTAACGGTTCTGTGGCCCTAAGTAACGGTTCTGTGGCCCTCAGTAACAATTCTGTGTCCCTGAGTAACAATTCTGTGTCTGTCCCTGAGTAACAATTCTGTGGCCCTAAGTAACGGTTCTGTGGCCCTCAGTAACAATTCTGTGTCCCTAAGTAACGTTTCTCTGTCCCTAAGTAACGTTTCTGTGGCCCTAACTCTGTCCCTAATACAGAGAGGTCTGCCTCTCTTGAATGACTGGAGGCAAATGGAGAATTCTAAATTTATAGCTCGACCATTACACAGTGCTGGCTGGCTGGCTGCTGATTGGCTAATGCGATCACATGTCATTAAGGAATGCATTATGGGTCAGCGCGCCTTGTCTGCGCGCCTTCCCAGACATCCCCGCTTCGTCGCCGCACATGTCGCCGCCATTTTAGGAAAAATTTCGATTCGCGCATCCGAAGTATGCTATTTTTCGGATTCGGCGCGAATCGAAAATTTTCCAATATTCGAAACAAATTCCACTTCGCCTACTTCGATTCGCTCATCTCTAAAATATATATATATATATATTCTCCAAAATTAATCTTGCTAAGAGTTATCTTATATATAAATATCGTAATCTAGAAATATTACAGTATAAACCTAACATGTATGAAATATATTTTTACAATTCTCTAGTTAGTGAAACAATCTCTTACATAGATGGGGGAGGATGGATAGACCAATTGCTACCACATGTGTGGCTTGAATGTAAAGAAAACCCAAGATATATGTTCATATGTATATTCACAGACTATGAAGTCTAATTACTTGCTTTTCCCAATCTAGAACAAATATAAATATAATAACTCAATTATTCTATTAAGATCCAACTCATTCATACATGTTAGTACTGTTAATAAGAAGATATTAGATATTAGGTTAAGGAAAGCTTCTAACATTTCCCTCTCAAAATGATCGATTTTATCGAATCTTAATCATTTTCCTTATCTTAATCCATTTATACACATTCTCGTCACTTTCGTATCCATTCATGCGTTTTTGGATCTTAAGATAATTGATCTGAACATATCTTTAATTTGATTCTATAATGGGAAAACAAATTCTTTGATAAACCTTTTGTTATGTATCACATAAAAATATTTTTACCCTTATTATTTTCCTTTCCTTTCACAAAATAATTCCTCCCCTTAATAAATGTATAACTGTAACATTATAGTACAATACTTTAAAATATGTCACTTAAAAAATAGATGTTTCATATTTTCCCTCCAAAATGTGTGTAGCACATAATTCTATAATCCACTACATCTTTTCAAATTACCTTATTAACATTTAACCATAACATATGTTCTCTAACTTCAATCCATACATGTATATCAAATGTTTTTTTTTTAAAAAATACATACATATAACAATGTAAAGCTTGCCTAAGTTTTTCTATATGTACCTTAGAAAAACTTATCCCTAGCTTAATTAACAGCAGATATTCTAACTAAGAGTGACTCTGTTGTAACAAACGTTTAACCCTTTCATTTCTGAAAATACATAGTGTGTGATTGCAAATGTTCATGTGAAAACTGATCTCATCTTGATATGGTAAACATATGATGTCAAAATAAAATGTACACACAAAAAAACCAATATATCTGATGAATGAATTATTTCATCAGTAGTCAAAAGTCAATTGTTTTATAAGTTCTTCCTCTATGAGATGCCTTGAGATGTCTTGTCTTCTTCTAGCGCTCTGTAAAGTTAAAATAA